TTATAGATTTAAGTCTAAACTGTTTTATTAAATTGCAGAATTAAAAAAATTAAGTTTAAATTGCTCCACCGTAGACTTAAGTCCATCAAAAATTTAAGTCAAACCGCTCCGTTCCACAGAGCGGAGCGGAGCGGTTGCGGATTAGCCGCTCCACCGGCTCACACTAATTTTTAATTTTATTAATAATTAATTTATATCCTAATTTAATTTCTTAATATATTTAATATATATGTTTTTTTGTAATAATTTTATTAAGAATATTTATATATTTAAATTTATTAATACAATATAATTATTTAATCTATATTTTTATTTTATTTGGATTAAAAAAATACTTTTTTTTAAATAAATTTCTTTTTTAAGTTTATATTTAAAATTTATTATATTAATTATAATATCTATTTATATTGTAATATTAATATTTAGTTTTCTAAGATTAACAAGTTTAAATTTAATTTATCTTTATTTTGGAATGAGACCGTTGTTGATATCGTGAAAGTTATTTGAGTTATTATTTTGTTTTTTTGAAGATTTTTTTTGGTTTTCTTATTCTTCTTCTTCAGGAATTTTTTTTTTTTTAGAGGTATTTAGTAAGTTGTAATTGATTAATGGTTCTTATATTTAATAATACTTTGAGTTTGATGATTCCAATATATATTACCTATCTACCAAAAATTGGATCAGTTAAAGTATTATATTTGTCCCAGGTTTCCTTGGTAGGATTTTTAAAACAGCTTTAGTATTCTGCTATATTTCTTAATTTTATGTTACACCTGTCCCAGGTTTCCTTGGCAGGATTCCCAAAACAGCTCTAGCACTCTGCTATATTTCTCAATTTTAATTATTCAAAATTTTTAGTTAAAAATATAAGTATTTGGTAAAACAATTAAAATTGTTAAATAAAAAATATAATATAATAAAATAATTAAAAAAATTATAATATTATTTAATTAAATATGTAATTAAGTTGATAAATTGACCAATAAAATTCCAAAAAAGTTTAAGAATAATTATTGTTTAAAAATCTTTATATATATAATGAAATTTTATACAAATAGATATATAAATTTGCAGTTCTTATAGTAAAATAAAATAAATTTATATAATATTGTAGATTATATAGGCTATATAGGGTCCTATAGACTATACGGATTATACTTGTGTGTTGTAGGTTATAATAATTTGCAACTCATGATAAACAACTCCAACCTTGACTCATTCTCTTAAACATCGAAATCCAGCGCTGCGCTGAATTTTTAAAATTATAAAAAAAATATAGTACTAATCCTCATCATTATAACTTTTGAATAACATTATTATTATTTATTTAAAAGATTTGCCTAACCCTTTAAAATCTTTTCTATTATAATAACCTTCTTAATTTCAAAATTAAACAAAAACAATAATATCTTTATTATTAAAATAATTATTATGAATATTAATACTAAAATAAAAAAAACTTTAAACTCTTTTTATTATATAATTTTTAAAAATTATAATATTTTAAAAATAACATAACAATGCAGTATTAACTACCAGTATTTATAATATCATCTCAAAAATATTAACGTTTAAAAATCTTACTTAATTAATCAATCTTTAAATACTTTATAAAAGTAAAAACTTATAAAATAGATACTTTACTATTCTGATTAGGGATTTCTCTTTCACCCAACTCTTATTATAAATAAGGTATTTAAATTATATTAAATAATTTATCCTAATACTTCTGATTTTTATCAATTGTAAATATCTCAATTTAAAAATAAATTTATTAATTAAATAAAATACAAAATTTCAAATTATATAAATAAAAAATATATTATAATAATTTTAATAAAATTTATCAAATTATATTTTAATTATGTAAATTAATATTTGTAAATAATATTACTTAGATTTTTATATTAATATTTCATAATTTTAAATTATTATTCAAAATAAAGTTATAAAGTAAAATAATATATAAAATTTTAATAAAAAAAACATTATAATAAGTTAAAATTAATATTATTAAAATATTATATATTGTAAAACATATATTTGACTGGTTTAAAATAGTAATAAAGAAAATATTACTATTATCAATTATATAAATATTGATAATATTAAAATAATGTTGTTAATAATTGTTTTTAAAGATATTTATTATATAGAAAATTAATATATTATTTTAAATAATAAAAAAACTACTTTTAATATTATAAAAAAAGAATAAACAAATAATATTTTTAGTATTAAATAAACTTATTAATTTAAAATTTATTTATAAATTAAAACATTATTTAATATATTTAAAAATCAATTATTAATTTTTGATAATTATAAATCATATATTTTTATTAAACTTTTAAATTTTTACTACATTAATAACATCGAATTATTATATATACCTGTTTATAGTACTTATTTTCTCCAGCTACTAAATGTTGGATTTTTCAAGCTACTATAATAGTATTATTTAACTTATACTATTGAAATTTTGTATAATATAAATTATTAAATACTTTTATCAAAATTTTAATTTTATTTAATATTTAGAAAGGTATATAATAAAATATTTATCAAAAATAATATTATATTTATATAATATTAATTTAAATATTTTCTATATAACCCCAGCTTTATTATTAAACAATATAAAAAAACAACCCCCCCAACAATAAAATTAGATAATATTAAATTATTATAAATATTTTAAATTCTGAAAAATATTATTAATATTAAAAATTAATTTATTACACACAATATTTTTCCATTATAACACTATTTTATAAATATATTTATAAAATCAGCAAAATAAAATATTATATATTATAATTTATTAAAAATATAGTTTAAAATATTATAAATAGTTTATAAAAAAATATAGCAACATAATAATTAACATTAATTAATATTAAGACAAAATAAAAATCACTTAATAATCAATACAAATATACAATATATAAAAACAAATCAAAATCAAAAACAAAAAATAATAGTATAAAAAAAATAATAACCTAAATATTATAAATATTTACCAAAGGAATTTATAAGTTTTATACTTTATACCATTTTTATTAACAATAGAAAAAGATGAAATATATTTTCCAATCAAATTAACAATCAAATTAATAATAACAACAATTTCAATTTTTTTTTAGATAGTGATAAATTTATAAAAACATTATTAGAAAACTTTATAAATAATGATTAATTAAATATTTTTTTTATAATTTTAAAATTTAGTATGGCACTGGATTTTAATGTTGAAGAGAATGAGTCGAGGTTGGAGTTGTTTATCACGAGCTGCAAATTATCATAACCTGCAACACACGAGTATTATTAATTATTAATTATTATTATTAATTATTATTATTAATTATTAATTATTATTATGAATTATTATTAATTATTATTATTAATTATTTTTATTATTTTTATTCTATTTTTAGTAAATCCACGCGGTTTAAATTTACAATTATTTTAAATTCACGTAAAGCAGTTTCACATTTATTATTAAATCCGCAAAACAGTTTAAACTTAATATTTTAAATCCATAAGTCCACTGTTACACCTGTCCCAGGTTTCCTTGGCAGGATTCCCAAAACAGCTCTAGTATTTTGCTATGTTTTTCAACTCTAATTATTTAAAACTCTTGGTTGGAGATATAAATATTTAATAAAACAATTAAAATTATTAAATAGAAAGTATAATATAGTAAGATAGTTAAGAAAATTATAATATTGTTTAATTAAATATATAATTAAGTTAATAAATTGATTAATGGAATTTCAAGAAAATTTGGAATAATTATTATTTAAAAATTTTTAAATATATAATAAAATTTTATATAAATAAATATATAAATTTTGTAATTTTTATAATAAAATAAAATAAACTTATATAATATTATAAATTTTATAAATTATATATAATTTTATAAATTATATAAATTATATACCAAAACCATACTTTGTATAAAATGTTAAATAGTATAGGAGAGTTAGATGTTGTAGATATGTAGTTTATATAGAACAAATAAATTTATAAATGAATATAATATAGAGAATTATATTTTTGTAAGTTATTATATTTTATATAAAATATAAGTTTATAAAAGTATTTTGTTTATATAATAAGTAGAGCTTTTGTTTGAAAGGTGTGAAGTTTAGGTTGGGAGTATATTTATCACACTAAGACATATTTCCTAATCTAGTTAGTCAATATGGCTGGGCTGTGACATCCATGCAAAACAATTTAAACTTAATATTTTAAGTCCATAAAGCCACACAGAACAGTTTAATAAAGGCTTCAAACCGCTCCAAACCGCTTCATCCTCAGACTAGCCTCAACTAGTTTCTATACAATTTCTTACATGAGGTTTGGAGTTTTACTATATTTACTTTTTGGTATCTTTTATAAGTTACCTAAGAAATAAAAGTTTAAATTATAGTAGGTAAAACACCAAAAATGCGTGCAATTTTAATAATAAAATTAATAAGGTTATATAGTATAATCAAAATATTTTACTAAATTTTAATAAGCTAAAATCTGAAAGATTTTTTAAATTAATTCTTTATTTTAAATGTGGAAATAAGTATTTTATGAAAGATAGTAGTAGTAAATAGATTAATATATAAAGTGGTTTATTTTTAAAAACAACGCAGACTTTTGACCTAGTACGGTATATGGCATCCAACAGTTAGCCTCAAGTCCAATCCAACAACACATATTTATTCGGCAAAGTAATAGCAACAAGACATACTTATTTAACAGAACAATAAACATCCAACAATACATATTTTTTTACAAAAACGTTTTTAACTATTACTAGTATATTAAAAACATAAAAAGAATTACTAAAACTATATATAGCTAACGAACCTGAATCGTGTTGATTGTTAAAACAAACAAAACGTGGCTATCATATAATACAACACATTTGGCTCGTTTCCACGAAGTGTTTGACGAGAACGGCGTGAAAAGGGTGCAATGCAAAAAAGTGCAAAAGAGAACTCTCAGACGGGGAATCGAACCCCGGTCGTCCGCGAGCTTGCAAACGTAACCATGGAGCACGAAATTGTTCACAATTATGACAGGCGGAAATCTTGACCACTGGACCATCTGAGATACTTATTTTTTGGAGGGATAATTTGTTATTTATATAGGGAAATGACTTTACATTGTCTTGCGGTAAATTCTTACCTCCTTTTAGCACTTTCCCTTCACGCATATCTTTCTTTGATATTTCCTCTCTTTTATTTTCTGTGTAAAATTGTAGGATTACCTCAGCCTTTAACATTGTTTTATCAATTGCAAAATATATTCTGTGTATACTCATATTTTTAGTTTATGGTGTGATTTTGATGTAGATTCAAAGTTAATGTATTTGAGCACTAGATTACACTGATATTTAGTTTTGATATAGGACATCTGTTATATAGTACCGTGGTTATAATTCTGCTAACAATTAGGCGAGAACCATATCTTTACTGGTCTCGTATCCAGAGCTCACGAAGGGGGTACGAGACCAGTATTTAACTACTTAACCAATATCATGAATGTAAGTTCGTCTTCAAGCATGAAAGAAATTGCACAATCAAGCGGAAAACGAAGGTATGGTAACTAGTAGCCCCAGTTGAGTCTCTCGAGTAATTTGATAAAGTATACTAGCGTATCGAAGACGCCGAAATTCCGGCAGCCAGAATTCAATAGCAATCAAATGAGGGTGCTGCGAGCCGCGTAGGCCCTCTCACATGCCGAGCATACGTCGTGTCGGCAAAATACTCTCTAACCTCGAGCTCGAGATCGATACACTCCTTATCCCTCATTGACAGTTTTTCAAACAAACTAAAGATTTAATTGAGTCGGTATATAGTGCTAGTGCATCTACTAATGAATGACGATATTATCAAACCAGGTCAGCGCTGCAGCAACTCATATACAACGTAACTCCGAGACGTATATACTTAGCTCGAAATATAATGGACTTTCTTCATGCATGTTAGGTCGCGTAAGAGCGCGGTATCTAATAAACTATTTCCCAAAATAACCCATGGTGGAACTCAATTACTCAAGCCCGCAGACCATCACAAATGGCTCTGGGATGATAATCGAGGCTTGGATCTTTTTGCAACTTTTGAAGGCGTTTTTCACCGTCTCTAGCGCTAGAAGCGAGACGATAAATAGAGAAGTATTGTATGATTCTTTGAGATACGATCGCTATCCAAGATGAGATTTCCTTACATATATATGCGATCCCGAAATACTCTTCCCCTTGAGCTCGGAGGGTCCGGAGTCTCTTTGAATTTTCAGTCGAATCCACCTCGGTTATATCTATAGTATAGGTCTCGGGACGTCGGGACTAAGTGCTGGGATGTTATATCGGTAAGAAGTTTGACGATCTCGGCGGGTCCATTTTTGAGCGTAATATAGAATTGAATTTTTTTCTTAAGATATACATTACTTTGAATGCCTAAAGGCTATATTGAGAACGATGGTGCTAGCATAGCCAGTCTCGTCTCTCGTATTCAGACACTATATACTATGTTTCGCGCGAAAGGGGGCTTGGAATTATACAACATACTCAACACAACACATAAAGCTCGATATAAAATATGTATATAAAACCCCGCTGCATCGAAGAAAAGGCCGTCAAAGACGGACTCAACTGAGAAGTTGTCGGGTTTTGGCGGTCCGAATGAGCCCCTTATTTTGATGTCTTATCCAAGCGTCGTCAGGTACTTCTAAAGGACGAGTGGCTATAGCGACTTGCAGTTGCCAACGCAGGGACTTCATTATCACGTGACTTGTCTGTGTTACACACATGTACCGTCTGCGATCGACGCGACAGCCCATCTCAACCCTTTTCAACCTCCTGGCAACTTGATGCCCCCTGGTCTCGTACAAACCACTAAGCACCAAAGTTATCAATCTTGAAATCGATCTTGTAGACCGCGTAACCACCAAGAGTTGGGTTTCTGACAACGAAAAACAGGATGGAGAAGCCGTCATCATCTTCGTCCTTGTCTTCACTACCCCTTCAACAGCAGGATATAAGAGCCTATATGATGCAGTCACGGAAACGCAAAGCCTCATCTGCGGCAGAAGTTGGCACGGTTGAAACCGTAAACGATAATAGCGATAATGGAGATATTCGCGAAGACGATGAAAATCTCAATACTCCTGCAACAGGACCTGTCGGCGATAGGTGCTCACCTCTGCCACCATCTAAATCAAAACCATCGTCGAAATCAGACTTCGTCATTTCTATTTATACTCGCCATGTAGAATCTATCCTCGCCGGTACCAAAACATATGAATTTCGCAAATACCCTCTTCCGGCAAGAGATATGTGGATCTACGAGACAGCTCCTGTGAGCGCGATAAGGTACTACGCCGTCATAGCTGCTCCGTGCCGACCAGGAGAAATTCCGGAGGGCGATTTACATATTGAGCGGAATCGCCAATTCAACGACGGGCTTTCAGGCACCCTGGTTCCCGACAAGGGAAACAAAAAACCGCGGAAAGAAGTGAATTGGTATGCTCACCGAGTTTTAGAGGTCTGGAAACTCAAAGAAGCGATGAGCCTGAAGGCTCTGGTCGAGAAAGGATGGATAGGAGGGGCGCCGCAAAAATACGCCTGGCTTGATATGGCGAAAATATTCGACGTTAAGGCCGAATTGTCTAAAGTGGAATTACCGATTTAACCAATGCCAGGTGGTTTTACACAGCTCAGCACAATTTGTAGCCGATGGCTCCCCAATGCAGATATGGGTAACTTGAGGTAGGGTAAGGTGATGGGGAAGGATAAGACAAGAAAGTTTAAAAGATACCTAGGTATTAAGAAAATGTAACTAATCGTCTTTTGGCAAGCATGAGACTAATTTGCCCGAGATCTGCTACCTACTGCACGCATTGTTATAAACAAGATATCGTAGGTAGTCAGTCGAGCTCCCCAGCGAGACTAGAAAACAAGATGGAAACACGAGCTAACGAAGTATGATGTGGAGCAAGGCCGAGCTACCCCACAGATGTGGTATCACAACTAACGAGTAATAGGACCAATTAACCCGAGCCGTAAATCCCTCCCATCTATTCTGCTACCATGCATTTGGTTCCCTCCACCTCTTTAATGCGATCCCGTTCATCATTCAATATTTGAAGCAATTCCGCATGGATTTGATATATCGTGTAATGCCGAAACAACCGCTTCGGTTCATTTATCCATCCCTCAGTCAACCTATACAAGGTAACAATCTTAAAACCAGCGGCACAAAACTCGCGGAAGCTAAGCAAGTACGAAAGATTAGACAGACGAAGATATTCGTACGCATCCGGCCGAACGTAAAGACTCTTCGAAATCTTTGCACCACTCCAATCCAAGATCAAGGGAGTATAGACTGTGATAGGCGTGCATGATCCTTGGAGTGGCCTCAAGACCATTTGCTCTGCATAGAAACCAGCATAGTCAGATCCCTTGACCTGAACCCAACTACTGACAGGATCTTTAGCAAAGAGGCGAAAACGGATGAGGCCGCGTAATGGAGTATTGAACTCAAGTAAACTCAAGTCTCCATTCTCTAGATCAATCTGGTAGCTCCCGTGAACAGGGCACTGAAACTTGATCTGATTCTCTAAGTACTCATTTCGTATACCGTGCTTGTCTGCCAGACCGCAGTCTGGTGCTGGGCAAGCATACCTTATTCCTAAAGTCTTGTAACGCGGTTCGAGTAACGGTGCGATCTCAGCACGGTGAGTGACGATGTCTTGAAGAATCTCTCGAAGGTGAGGGTCCTGAAGGATATCTGTTTGCTTTCTTATCCGGAACTCAACACCAGATGCTGTGCTCAACTGCATGGCGAGCGATTCAAAGTCGGAGTTTGACTCGTTGGCCTTTTGGAGGTACCGAAGGCTCTTTTGGTAGACGACATCGTCGTATTCGCTAGTGGTTGGCGAGTATGGGGCAGTATCCACTAGGTCCAATGATACCCTGACCTGACGGGACTCTCGATGTCTTTTCAGACCTTTAGCCAGAGCGAAAGCGGTAGAAACATTCGTCATATTTCCGATGTGGGGCTGAAGTTATATATGTATAGGGATAGCTTGTTAGTCATATCAACAAGGTCTAAAATACCCAAGATATGGCTTATAACCACTGCTTAGATTACCTACCGACGAATTCGGCTGAGCTCCAACGAAGAAATCAATACAGGTCTTTTCATCTCCGATCAATTGAGTGAGATATTCCAGCAGGCCGGATTGGAAGTAGTACGATCCTGAACCGAGAGGGTGATGGGAGACATTGTCGTGAATTATCAGACTCGTATTCATCATTGAAAAATGGTGTCGACTATAGGTCCGGCGTCTCTCAAATACTTAGAAAACGTTATAATCGTGCGAGGTAGAACGGGTTTTAATTTCAGCTTCGTCGCGAGATCTAAGGTCTTTTCTCGGGTGTTAATTCGAATTCAAAAGTGGGATTGTGTGCCTTTTGTGTAGCCTTCCCATGAACGCATTCCGATGTCGTAACCATGCATTCAGATCTAGGACTCCAAAGACCGAAGGCTGGAGGAATGTGGAAAGAAGTATGTACTACGTGGCTGCAAATCATAAGCGAAGTGGTATCGATATATCCTCTACTCAGAGGTGCACCGACTTCTCGCGTTGAATATTGGAAGCATTATATCGTTAAATTTGGTCGTGATTATGTCGACATGGCTGAAATTCTTTCATTATAACGCTGTCCAAATAAAGAACCTTCAAAACTCAAGATCACTGGTATCCGTAATATTATCGTTCAAAAATTTACATCTGATCAGCTGAGCAGCTCCATTCATACATTCTAACATAAACCTATGTAAATTTTAGGGAACGTTCGAACCACCAGCTTAGTTTTATATTTTCCAAAATTAAAAGCTTTATTTGCGAGCCGAGCTAGGCTCCCTTAACTGATCGAGACCACATATCCGCATAAACTATAACACCATCAAATAATGTATTATACATTTACGGGGCGAATTTTTCCTTAGTCCAAGCTTTGCCCAGACCTCTAACAAATCAAAAAAAGATAAACACTTCTACTAACGGTATCACAATTAGGTTGATGTTATTTTAGATGCATGCAAATA